GGGCTGAAACACCTCTCCTATCTATGAGGACAGGCTGAGAGAGATGGGGTTGTCCAGCCTGGAGAAAAGAAAGCTCTTGGGGAAATCTTATAGTGGCCTTTCAATATATAGAGGGCGCTTTTAATAGAGACAGACTTTTTATATCAGTGACAGAGGAAGGGGCAACAGTTTTAAAACTGAAAGAGGGTAAGTTTTGACTGGATATAAGGAAGAAATTTTTTATGATGAGGGTAGTGAGACACTGGAATAGGTTGCTCATAGTCGCTGCAGATGCCACATCCTTAGAAGTGTTCAAAGTCAGGTCAGACGGGGCTCTGAGCAGCCTGATCTATTCAAAGATGTCCCCACTCATGGAAAGGGGGTTGGACTAGATGATTTTTAAAGTCCCTTCCAACCCAAATCATTCTATAATTCTGTATTCCACTATTTTATATATATTCATTACATATTTCAATAATGTATTTTGGAGAAAAGCTTCTCAAAAACCTCCAAGAAACTCAAAAATCAAGGAGTTTGGGACCTCACTCCTATGTAGGAGCTGAGACAAAGGCAGCACACTCTTAGATCTGATAATATAGTCAGACACCTGTCCACAACCAGCCAGGAAAAACTTACTGTGCAGAGGATTTAAACAAGGGCCTCACAGATTGCAGACCTACTACCCCTGCCATCACATAAAGCTCAGTGTTGTTTGAACTTGAGAAGCCTGAAACAGAATGCATGGGCAGATTTTCCACTGTGTCAGGTTTCACAGGCATATCTTGATTTTCTTCTACTGAAAAGGCATTCTGACATGGAAAAATGGGAGAAAGATGGTGACTTCCCCCAAATCAGAAAAACTGTTAGACAGAAACAATTTTGTCTCTCTGCATCAACAGAAAGGTACAGTGAGCCAAGACAACCAAAACATTTGGCCAGACGGACATGAAAACACATTCTCCTCAAACTTTAGCTCTATGTGCCTATCACTCAAGGAAGTCCAGCAGAAATTCTCAGATGTAAAAGTCTCAGCTGTTAAAAAATTCAGAAGTGTCATGTTTCACAAAGAAAGGCCTGTGACTCAACACTGGACAGGTCAAGCCTACAGCATTTTAAGCCAAGTTGTCAGTTGCTAAAAACAGCAGCTTTTTTTTGGTTTTGAGAGAGATGTTTTATTATTCCTTCATCCACTGCATTAAGAGGGAACTCTTGCTGAAAGAAGGGACAGCAATACCCACAATCATAATACGAAAGGTTTAAAATGTTACCATCAACTGTAAGCAGCATCATTAAAATCCATGATCACAGTTGATGCTCCTCTGAAAGTAATATCAGTAACATGACAGCTAAAATATAGCATGAAGACTACAGTCATGCCACTAGACACACTAAATAATTTTTTAAAACTGACATGTTTCTAGTAAGAGCATTAAACAGGACAATTTTATCTAAATTAATAGCCAGCTGTACTTAAAAACTATGATCAATATCTACCATTATGACTCATAATCAGATAAAATCCTATCAAGCACAATTACCTTCTCCATACAAAGGACAAAAGCATATCAATAAACCATGCTGACTATTAAATTCTGAATGTGGCCACTTGAAAATGACTGAACTTCCACAGCTGTTTCTAAGTCTTGGACACTTCCTTCCACATTTGTCACTACAGCATCTTTAACAGAACTAAGTGATAGGAGTCAAAATGAAATAAGAATGTGTTTTGTAACTGTCACCAAATAGAAGTAACTCATTGCAGAACTAAGCAGAATTTGTATAAAAGAGGAAACCCAGCATTAATTCCAAACATTGGCATTAACTGGATTGAATACATTATTAATTGCTCATTGTATTAGACCTATTTTTCAATATTAATTGTTCACTGTATTGGACCTATTTTTCAATAAATCAAACAAGACATGCAAAAGTACAGAAATTGGTTTGAAAACATTCTAAACCAGTATCTAGCAACAGTCTTACAGAAGTAGAGGCTTGAAGAAAAGGAGATGAGGATTGGAATATCAAGAAGGTGTGGGAAGGGAACATGAACAAGTAAATGATAGAGCTTCATGAAGAAAGGAAGGATACCTACCAGTTAATAGAGATCCCCTTAGAAGCATAAGCCCATGTGCATGTTCACAACCTGGATCAGGTAAAACATGCAAACAGTTGGGTTCAGGCTTGTCTGTCTTAGCAGTGGCTTAAGTGTCTCCTCACATGTCTGAATGCGGTAAAAAAAGGAATAAGGCATGTCCCAATCCAGAGCTAAAGAATACCCTCCCTTCTTGGGAACAGATGACTAGGCTGGAAATCACATCTCAAACCAACCTGCTTCCAACTTCAAGGAGTTCTCAGAGGCTGGTGTCTCTCTCCCGGGCTCAATTACTGAAAAGTCTCAAGTTCCCTTGCTTTTCTTATCCACACTGACAAATTGCAGAGAAATCATCCAATTTGGCAAATAAAGTGGTCTTTCAGATACCAGAAGGAGCCCTATCTGCCACACTATTTTGAAAAAAAAATGCAGCCTAAACGTTTTAGGAATAGTTCTTTTGGAAAATGAAGATAATAGACATGAACACTTGACAGGAATAATCTTCTACCCCAAATCATGAAGCATTTAAAGCCCATTGTAGAGACTGATGTCATAAAAGTATTTTTGAAACAGAAGAGTCAGCCCAGTAGCCAAAATTTAGGAAAGACAGAGGGTAAAACTTTCTAAGAAAAGAAATAAAATGTGTCAATGAAAAACTCTTTAAGCTTGTTCTGACTCTACCAAGCAGTTAGAAGCAACTGAAAGGAAAAGGAATACTTAAGTTTTACAACTGCAGGCAAAGCATACGTTTTGGCAGTGTTTATCTACACCCATCTGCATACTGAGGCAAAAAAGTTCTTTTTAAGGGGCTTGTGCATAGGTGTGGGATTAATCTATACAAACAATTCAGCTACAGACATGTGATCTGGGCTCTTTCTCTGTGGTTTTTCATATTCACAGTAGGTGACTTCAAGAAGCATGCTATGGTTTGAGTAAGTTATTCAGAGACAGGGTCAATGCTCCTAGTTGAAAAGATGATGTGGGACTGCTCTACTCAATGCTTGAAGACTTCAGTGAGCGCATAATATTAACGTGATCTGTGCTCCAAGCAACAGAAATACAGATTTCTGGAAAGGAAGAATCCTTCAATGTGCTGCTGTTGTGTGCACTACAGTAAAAGCTACCAGAACTCCTCCCAACGGTTCCAGCTTATCTATGTCAGTTTCTCCACAGCACAAGTTTAAAAGCACATACAGCTCAGACTGCTCTCCATGAAACTTCTTTGCTACAGAAATAAAAAACACAAGCACTTTTCCTTGCTTATATCTGTCAGAAAAAGAAAGCTGAGGGCCTTAAAAAGAAAACTGGTAGGTTAATAATGCTGACCTAGATGAAATTCAGAAGCTGCCTCAAGTTAATATTTGGGTTGACCGTTCAGTGATTTTTATGCCTTCTTTTGTTAGGTTATAAGTGTAAGCTAACAGGGTTTGAAATTCACCACTACTCAAACACAAGTGATAGTTGCTACAAAAGACTATCTTCCTGGGGAGGTGCCACAGTAACCGATTTAAAAGGCTAACTTGTAACGCTGGGGAACAAGATCACTCCGTGAGGGTAAAAGCCTTACAGAGCTGTGAGAAAACTCTGGTGGAATACCTAAACCTGACAGATTCTGGAGGTGGGGAAAGGCTCACTGCCATAAACATAAGGTCAGCTCTTAAGCTGCTACAAAGGAAGGAGAGGCAAAATTACATGCTTCTCCTTTGCTTTGGGCTTCCTGTAATAGAGCAGGTGAATCACTGTAGCAGAAAGGACTGTTTGCAGCTGCATCCCTCTGCAGACAGGAGCTTGGAGAGTGTAGACAGTGGAGAAGGTGAAGCAGTAGTCTTGATGAAAAATAAACCAGCAATTTCTTTCAAGATATACACTGGATTTTTGCTTTGCCACTAAGTTCTTCTTTCAAAGAGAAGACACTCCTACAAGAGAACATTTACAGATCCCAGGATGACACCAAATACCTAGAGCCAACAAATATGTGTTTTTTTTCTCTGGGTTATTTTTAGGGCTGTGGGATTAAAATCTCTGAAAACTTGTTGCTACTCATGTGGTGCTCCCATAAACAAAGGGGGAAGATACATATGAACACCAGAAAGTGTATCAAGCCTTAAACCATGAAATATGACTGCAAGCCTACTGTTTTAGGTAGTGGCCTACAGAAAAGCCATGAAACATAAAGGATAAAACCAAATTAAGACATAAGCAATAGATCAAAAGTCAGGTAGCTGATAAGACATGAGAAGATCTATGACTTAATCTGTAGGTTGGGTCAGGCTCCAGCCTTGTTAAAATACGTGAAGTAAGAGGTCACAGCAACGTTACTGCTAGACCTCTACTAGTTCACGGTCGCAAGTCTTCAGGTATACACAGACGCATCCTTTCAAACTAAGCATGTCTCTGCCTAAGTGCTCAAAAGTACAAGTCTGATCTTTTTAAATAAAAGTCTCAAAAGTAGGACAAAATTGGCTTGATATTTCTCAGTTTGTCACTGAGAAAATGGTAAGACGACAGTGCAGCACTTTCGTGAAGCAAACTTACAGCCTTGCAGGGCAAGTAACAAAACTACTATTTGTACCTTCGTGGAGTTATAGAATAACAAAACAAGTTATTGTTGGCATGAGAATCTAGTGACTTGACATCTCAGGCTGATGTTTGAGTAAACATCAAAATCCAATTAAAAAAAAAATCTTTTGAAAACATCTTGATACAAGAAGCATTCCAAAGCTCTAACAAGGGGTTCTAAATTGCCCAAGACCTACACAGAAACAAGCCTTAAAGATTCCTTAATCTAAGAATTTCATTACTCAGACAACATACCGCTGTAAAATTAGTTTGAAAACTACCAGGAAACCAAGATTTTAGAAAATTCTTCATAAGCAACATTTGCTCAAATACACTAAATTTCACAGACACCTTCCAGTCTCCTTACCTCTTGTCCTGAAAGGTAGTATGCTGCTAGAAGACCACCAATGAAGCGAATATTGACCTCAAAAACAGAGACTTCAGAATTCTAGAAGAGAAAGAAAGAGTAAATAATTAATCAACTCCCTAATCAAAGAAGAAAAAAAAAAAATCAGCAAGGCAGAGTTGAGTACATACCCTAAACCAAACTGCACTCAAGGGTTTGTACTGTTTCAGTATCTAGATCCATACTGAAATTCCTGTGCATGTCTTCATGACACAGATAATTCTAGTTACAGTTTTAACTGATTTTTAAAAAGTCAGATTAGTTTTTCTCCTGCTCTCTAATTATATTATCACCACAAAGTGCAATTAAAGTTGTTTGGGGATGGTGGGAAAGGCGGCAATTTCCATTTCCATAATTCAGCATCTTTTCTCTCACATTTAACCATGACACCAAATCTTCTGGGTTTACAGGATAAAGTAGAATAATAATTAGAGAATTCCTGTAATGTGTTTTCTTAACCTGAATTAACAATGTGCAATCTCAAATTCAGAGCTGCATTTCAACATAGGCTCTGTCTAGGAATAGCCTTTATGTATTTATATGACAACAAGTACTGTAAAACCACTGAGAAACTAAAGAGAATAAACCATTTTAATGCCTGCCTCCACATTTATATGGGGCTAAATTTACCAGTAGCTTTTGAACTCATTTAACCCACTGAAAAATTAAGAGGAACTAGACAGTTTTAACATCTTTCTACCTCCCTCTGCACCCCATTCACTACTTTGCCTGTATACAACCCATCTTTCTTCCTATAAACTTCATTCAACCCATTAGACACAAAAACGCAGTTTTATTAAAAGATTTTGAGATAAGGCTTTCTTTTATGCAGAAAAGTCACTACAATGTATACTGTACACATGGACACACCAATCAGTTGAAGTGACATTAATAGGTATATCTTTCCTTTCACATTCGTTCTATGTCACCTGCAGTTGTAACATGCATTTTGCTTGTAACCAAAATAAATGCATTTTGCAAATATTACTTATTTCAGAAAGATTATATACTTCAAAGATTTCCTCAATGAAAGTCTAAAGTTTGAAATACTCCCAAACACAGGTTTTTAGTAAAAGATGTATTTTTATTCACATACAGGTGATACAAGTAAA